CATGCTTCTTGCGGACAGCAAGGGCGCGAAGCACCCGCTCTTCTTGGTCCTAAAAAGTGCGAAGTCAACCGTCAAAGAAGTTGTGCAAGAGAACCTGAAGAAGCATCAAGGGTTTGGTAAGAAAGTCTGGAGAGAGGTGCTACCTCTGCAGCGTGTGCACCGGAGCCAGATCTACATGAACCCGACAGTGTGGTGGAATGCAGGGATCTCTCTTGCGTTCTTGAAGTTACACTTTGAGTTACGCGTATCGGGCAACGAAGAAGGTCATGCTAATATTGGACGACTTCAGCGCGCACTTCACCGAGGAGGTCGTGGCCTATGCGGAGAGTTTGAATGTCGTGCTCGAGCGTGTGCCCCCGCGATTTACCTAGATATATCAGTCAGCGGACGTTGCGTGGATACGTCTCTTGAAGGTCATGCTACGTGCTCATTGGCTCGACGAACTGAAGAGACAAGTGCGCCATAGCAAAGCGACGGGGTCAAAGTTGGTGCTACTGTACGTGGCCCCTCTCGCTCTATGATTGTTTCATGGGTCACTGGTGTGTGAGGTGACTTGCCTGTGGCCACCATTTTAAATGGATTCCGCAAGTGCCAATTGGTGAGCGGTTCTGTCGAAGACGTTGCTGGAGATGTCCCTGTTTTGGATGATGACACACTTTGTGAATTGTTTACCAAAATGGCCATCGAAAACACCATTGATCCAGATGAAGACATTGACTGCTCTGAAGATCTGAAACTTCTGAACCAAATTAGGTCAACTCAATATGTTACCTGTCCATTTGAATACAATATTTTAAGTTTACTTCCTGTCAATTGTTTCTACCCTTGAAGATTAATTTCACTTTACAACTTATTGTTGAAGGTGTTGATTCGGTGATAATCCATATATGAAAGTTTGTATGTCCAGTACAAATTACATAACCACACCCCTCCCGCCGTCGGATAAATGTCCTGTTACAACAGGGCATTTATATAATAATATACGCTACACGGTACTCCAATGTGTCCAGTATTTTAGCCTATCGAATGGGTTTTCATCGGACAATCATTCCGCGAGGCGCAAAAAACACACAACTGTACAGTGGTGGCAATCATAGAGAGGTTTTGGTGATTGTCCAGTCACTATACATTGCGTGCATTTTTGACAATTGATGTTTTGCAGACAGGGAATGGAATGGTCAAAAATCAGTTTTGGTGGTTCCACACCTTGTCCATTCAATGTTCCGGTTAATACCACCGGTAAATCATTGACCACACCTCTTCACACTTGAAAATGTCCATTGCGCATGCCGACGTTGCCCTTCTGATGTCAATGGCGA